GTAGAAAGCCTCATCTTTCTCCCGCGGAGCGGCTGGTAGTTTCGAACCGCTGACCTTAAGGTTCGCAGCCCGATTCGTAACCACTACGCTATCTGACCATATTCTGCTATTATTCATAAGGTTGAGAAGTGGTCTGCTCTCCTTCTTCTTAGTCTTAGTCTGGAAGCTCTGCTGAAACCTCCACCATGGTTGACCCTCTGGTTTTTGAAATAGCTTCCAGCAACACAGAAGCCATCACAATATGACAAATTGACAGACAAGTGATGAAGTCTGCTATAAGATGAAAAAAATAGGAAAATATATATAGCAAAAAGTTAGCCATTTTAACCATTTAAAAATAAACAATTTATGGAATTAATTACATTCATCTTGTTTTGCAGCCATCACCACTGTGCATTAGATTGCCCCACAAAGTAGTGTAGTTCTCCTTAAGCAAATTGCACATGCCCTCTCAACCTTAACCCTACCACCTTGTTAGATGCTATTGAGTGAGTTCCTGCTTATAGCGACACTATGCACAACACAACAAAACACTCACTGCCCAGTCCTGCACCATCTTCACAGTTATTTCTGTGTTTGAACCCTTTGTTATATCCACTGTGTCAGTCCATCTCATCCTCTCTTTTCCTGACCCTCTACCAAGCATAATGTCCACTGGTAAGCACTAATAAACGGTGATAGAGGTGAGAATAGGGTCTTTTAGGCCAGAGGGCTGGAGCTGGTTGCAGGTTGTATCATTTCTGAAATATGTTTTGTCTATGCATTTGCCAATTCTAGCTATTTCATATAAGGGGCATCATACAGTATTTGTCCTTTTGTGTCTGGTGTCTGACTTATTTCACTCAGCATAATATTTTCAAGACTTCTGGTTTCCCCCTCCTGCCCACCCTCGGTAGCCACTATTAAACTTTGACCTGTTTCATGTAAATGGGATCATACCAAATGTGTCCTTTTGTGACTGATCTCTTTGACTCAGAATAATGTTTTCAAGTTCCATTCATGTTGTAATATGTGTCACAACTTCATTTTTCCTTATGGCAGAATATTCCCTTATATGGATATACCATATTGTATTTATCCAGGTATCATTTGGTAGACATGAGGGTTATTTTCACCTTTTTGACTAATGTAAATAATGCTACAATGAACATTGGTATACAGCTATTCTTCTGTAAGTTTTTGAGGTTTTTCTTTGCTCGTGGGTTTGATGTAAGATTTTATGGTGCTGTGCAATAAAGCACTAGAATGCAAGGTCGATTTGAACCACAAGATCAGTGGTTCAAATTCACCAGTCGCTCCTTGGAAACCTTATGCAGGGTCGTAATGACTCAGAAGTGAATGACAATTCTTTTATTTGGTATATTAAATGAAAATAAATCAATCTCACTGTCACTCAGCTTTCTCTCTCAACTAATTAAAGTTCGACCTCCTGATTAGTAAATTTCGGAACTTAGGATCCTTGTAGGTTAAAGTCTGTTCTAATACATGCTGGTGGATGGATTCTGGTATGTAGAGGTTACTGTGCGTAGGTGCTCCAGGTCTCTGCTATAAATTTCCAGTGGAAATAGAAACAAGGTTTCATTTACTTGAAGTAGAATGTTTTATTTATAATGTTAGAGGATATGAATGAGTTTATAATATACTCTTCTCTCTTTTATTTTCACTTCTCAAAATACTTTATTTCTGCTTGAAAGCTAAAACATGTATTTTTTAATGCAGTGCTGGAAATGTACAGTAAGCTAAAAGAACAGATGAGTGCAAAAAGGTAAGTTGGTTTCTTTTCTAATTGTTTTTAATAAAAATCTTTTAAAATTACTAAAAGTATATACTATAAATTATAGTGGTGATTTGCTTTAATACCTTATGCTGTTCTTTGGTCTGGTAGTGCTGTGGGTTATGTGTTGTTTTAAACGCACCAACTGTTCCACTCAAGAAAGATGAGGAAGCCGTATGCTCCCATAAAGATTTATGGTCTCAGAAACTCTATATAGGGCTACTATAAGTACCAATCCACTTGATGGTGTAGATGTGATTTTTGTATTCCATGCTCATGCAATTTGCTCATTAGGATCATCCAATAAAGTAATTCTTACTAATCCATATGTGGATTCTTGCTTGCCACATATATGATATAAGTGATAGAAAAGATTGATCATTTTGGTAAAGAAAGAAACTTAACAAGAACCAATGTTGAATAACTTGTCAGTATATTAACATTGCATGCAATCAAAGGGTAAGTGTTCTTTTCATTTCTGCTGATTTAAAAATTCTAAGGTAAGAGCTCTTTTTTGATCTCCAAAGGTTTCTTTTGTTCCCCAGCAGTTTGTTAGTTTGTTCTTGATTTATTATTGCAGTGTTTTCTCATCCTCTCTGAGATTTTATGTAATAAAAATTGAATAAAAATACTTAAATAGAGTATATATGGTTTTCTTCTTGTTTTCAGAATAGTGTTATTCTCAACCTAGTCTGAAGCCTGCTATTGAGACAATAGCTATTTTAATCTCTTGCCAAAGTGTGGGAAGTATATTTGCTTAGATGGCTGGAGTAGAGGAGAAAACCTGGGGTCTGCTGACTTCTTAGATTTTTAACCAGTACATCTACTCCTACTTCCAAAAGCTGTGGAATTCCTGACAGTTCCTGAGTCTTGGGAATTCTCCAGAATAAACTCTACCAGCTGTCTGTTAATTTCTTACACTGGTGGCTTTTGCTTTGTGATGCTACCAGTATTTCAAATGTAAGCTTTTGGCCATAGTTGACAGGTTTATAAAAACAGTATCATGTACAAATGGTAATCTATTGTGATGTGGGTTTTGTCTGTATTTAGAAATATGTCAGGCTTAAGAGATTTGTGAATAATTTTTAGGAAAGATCCCAGGGTCTGCCTAAGATTACATAGTTACTATATGTCACAGCTTGGGTGCCCCAGAAAGCAGAGCCCAGCATATAAATTTGGGAAGCAGGATTGGAGGAAAGAGAAATGCAGCAGGGAACTTGAGAGAGCACATGTAAGGAAAGTTATTGAGTTAGCCACTGCCTGATACTGAGTAATTTCAAAGGATGTTTGTATAAGTTATTGTAAGCCAGGATATCGCATCTAGGATGAGCAGAGGAGAATTTCTCCTTTCGTTTCCTGTTCCTATTGATCAAAGGTTCAGTCAAATGGTGTCAGCTCCCTACTTCTCTAGGGTAAGCATATGTGGGTGCTAGGTAGATCCTGTGATGGCTCATGCCTCAGCAACACAGGGAAACTCCAGGGTGTTGGGTGGGAGGTAAGGGATGAGCGTGAAGGGAGGCACAATTGTGCTATTAGTATGTCTGTGGTTATGTTGCAAAAACTACTGTAATGCTTCTCATTTAGCATCTACACTTATGATTTCAGATATACTATAGATATTATTATGAAGTTTAAAAAAAAACATGCCTGTTGTAGAGAGAATACCTTTCAGCTGTAACTGATTGTATAAAATCAGAATGAAATGTGTATTTTGACTGTTGGATGATCATTTGTGTGATCTGAAATACTGATTCAGTATTTCACTTCTTCTAAATCTATAACATCTATGTTGTTGTTGTTCAGTGCTGTCGAGTCAATTCCAACCCATGGCGACCCTGTATAGGGTTTCCGAGGAGCAGCTGGTGAGCTTGAACTGCTGACCTCACAGTTCAAATGGCTTATGGCTTTGCAGTCTGGTGCATCAACCCACAGCGCTACACCAGGACTCCATAACATCTATTGTTGTTGTTGTGAAGTGCTGTCAAGTTGGTACTGATCCATAGTGACCCTATATAGGGTTTCCGAGGAGTAGCTGGTGAGCTTGAACTGCCAACCTTGCAGTTCAAACAGCTTTGCAGTCTGGTGCATGAACCCACAGCACCACACCAGGACTCCTTAACATCTATAGGCTCTATCAAAATTGTTATAATGTATCTCTCTCAACCATGTTGTTGGTCGGTGCTGTCTGACTCCTAGTGACAACACAGCAAAGCACTGCCGGGTCTCTCCTTACAATTGCTGCCTCTCATTGTAGCTGTTGTGTTACTTGATCTTTTTGAGGGTCTTTCGCTTTTTTTGCTATCCAAAGTATGTAGGAGAAAGTCTGGCCATCTTCAAAGCACTCTGACTGTACGTCTTTCGAGATTTGTTCATTCTTCTGGCAGTCCATGATATATTTAATATTTTTTGCCAACGTCATAATTCAAAGGCATCAAATCTTACTTGGTATTCCTTATAAATTGTCTGGAGTCCTGGCTTGACGCTGTAGGATAAGCACTGGACCTCCAGGTCTGTTTGAATTATAAGGTCAGTGATTCAAACTCATCAGTTGCTCCTTAGAAACCCTATATAGGGTTGATATGAGTTGGAATCGACTCATTGTTCAGTTTTCACATGCATATGAAACAGTTTAAAGCGTCAAGCTTTGGATCAGGTGATCTTAGCCCTCAAAGTAACATTTGAACACTTTAAAGAGGCCTTTTGCAGTAGATTTATGCAGTGCAGTGTGGCACTTGATTCTTGATTGCTGCTTCCATGGAAAGTGATTGTAGATCCAAGTAAAATGAAATTCTTGTTACCTTCCATCGTTTCTGTGTTTATCATCATGTTGTTTGCTGGTCCAATTGTGAGAATTTTTGTTTTCTTTATATTGTTTGTTTTCTTTCTATTGAGGTGTAATCCATACTGATGACTGCAGTCTTTGATCTTCACCAGGAAGTGCTTCAAGTTTGCTTTGCTTTCAGCAAGCAAGGTTGTTTTCCCTGAAACCCTAATGTTGTGTTCTTCTTCATGTAGTCCAGCTTCTTGGATCATTTACTTAGCAAGCAGATTGAACAAATGTGGTGAAAGGATACAACCCTGACACACATCTTTCCTCATTTTTAACCATTCAGCATTCCCTTGTTCTGTTCACATGAGCACATTTAAACACTGCATAAGCATAATTAAGTGCTCTGGAATTGCCATTCTTTGAATTGTATATAATTTGTTATGATCCACATAGCTGAATGCCACTGTGTAGTCAACAAAATGCAGGTAAACATCTTTCTTGTATTCTCTGATATCAGCTAAGATCCATCTGAGATTGGCAATGCTATCCCTCATTCCACATCCTCTTCTTAATCTTGCTTGGATTTCTAGCAGTTCCCTGTCAATGTAATGGTGCAACATTTTAAAGTATCTTAAGCAAAATTTTACATGCATAAAATATTGATGGCATTGTTGTTGTTAGGTGCCATTGAGTTGGTACTGACTCACAGCGACCCTATTGCACAACAGAATAAAACACTGCGGTGCCCTGGGCCAACCTCGCAATCATTGCTAAGCCAGAGCCCATTGTTGCCACCACTCTGCCAGTCCATCTCGCTGGGAGTCTCCCTCTTTTTCTCTGACCCTCCACCTTACCAAACATGGTATCCTTCTCCAGTGACTGGTCCCTCCTAACAATATGTCCAAAGTATGAGAGACAAAGTCTGGCCATCTTGGCCTCCAAGGAGGACTCTGGCTGCACTTCTTCCAATACAGATCTGTTTTTGCTTTTGCTTTGTATTCTTTCCACCTTTTTAAATGTTTTTGTGTCATTCAGTATTTTGCTTTGTTGTTGATAAGTGCCTTAGCATCAGTTCTGAACTATAGCAATCCTGTATAAGACTTCCGAGGAGCAGCTGGTGAGTTTGGACTGTTGACCTTGTAGTTCACAGCCAGTGATGATCCTACAACGCCACACCAGAAATCCTGTTTTGCTTTAGAATACTTTAATATTTCAACTCAAAGCTTGAACTTTTTCTCCAGTTCCTTCAGCATGAGAAATGCCAAGTACTGAAATTCTGGTGACATAGCTTCTAGCATCTCAGCAACGTGAACGCTGTCACAGTACAACAAACTGACAGATGTATGGTGGTTCCTAACTGTTAATAAGTTAAGATTTTATTTGTTTCTAACAGTTCTAATGAATTTTAAATAGCCAACATAAAATTTAAATGGCTTAGTTTAAAAATTCACCACTCTCAAATGGATTTATAGTAGTGGATTTTAGGAAGCTGATAATTTTGGAAAATCATGCTACTAATTATAATGTCAGATTATATACTCTTCTATGTTTCAGTTTTCTCATCCATAGAATATTAATAGTATGATCTGGCATAGAAGTCTACCTCATAAAAGCATAAAGAAAGAGTATGTCTATGGAAACATAAATATGAGTTTCTCTTGGGCATAGGATATAGTTTAGTAATTGCTGCGTACCTAGTATGACACACAGTGCCGTATAAATAGAAGGCATTTAGTAAATATTTGGTGAAATGAAAAAACTCTCTACCCGTGCTTTTTCACCTATCTTTGTGATATATAATATATCTAATTTCGTTAAATAGTAGTATAAAGTACATTTTGCTATTGTTAGAATTAAATATGTGCTAAGCTTTTTTTTTTTTTTTTTTTTTGGTGGTGATGGTGTATGGATGGGAGAGATATGGAATAACATAATATTACAATTCATAAATTTAATATATTGTGATGATTATGGTAATGCTTATGATGTTGTTATGGGTTGTTATTGTTAAGTGCCATCAAGTCAATTTCGACTCATAGCGACTCTGTATAGGGTTTCTGAAGAGCAGCTGGTGGGTTTGAACCATCTACCTTATGATCTAGTGCATTATCCTGTAGTCTAGATGGGTGAAATAAGGAAGTTGCATATGTTATTATAAACTATGAATTTTCATACTGCATATGTTCTATGGTTATTTGTTGTTATTATTAATACTGTCAAGGTGGTTCTAACCCCTAGTGTCCCTGTATAGAGTTCCCAAGGAGTGATTAGTGAATTTGAACCACCAACCTTGCAACTAGTAGTCCAGTGCTTATCCTACAGCACCATCCCAGGGCTCCAAAAATAAGATATAGCGCTGTTGTTAAGTGCTGTGGAGTCAGTTCTGACTTATAGTGACCCTCTATAGGGTTTCCTAGGAGCGACTGGTGCATTAGCAGGCCATAGCATTTTCTACAGCACCACACCAGGACTCCTTTGGTTTATAGTTTGTGTTTATTAAATATGAGTAAATGTTTTTTTTATTTATTTTAGCTATAATTTTATACTTTTTGGTGGGCATGATGAATTGATTGCTTAGACTTGTAGAAATAATATAATAATTACTTTTTAACTTTGACAGGTATTACTCTGCTCTGAAAACTATGGAACAATTAGAGAATGTATACTTTCCACGAGTTAGTCAGTACCGGTTTTGTCAGCTAATGATAGAGAATCTTCCTAAACTTCGTGAAAGTATTAAAGAAATCTCCATGTCTGATCTCAAAGACTTTTTGGAAAGTATTCGAAAGCATTCTGACAAAATAGGTGAAACAGCTATGAAACAGGTGAGATTTAAAAGGAGAATTAAAATTTAATGCTATTTAATATTCGAAGAAATAGAATGTGTCCAAAGTTTACTCTTTTTATTTACATAAAATGCCTGTTTGTACCCTTATCTTTCTTAGTTCTTGATTAGAATGGATTTCATGAGTACTTTCTTTTGATTTATAGTTATTCCTTTCCCAGTAAAGTCAGTCTAATTTGAATTCATCAGTTGCTCACTAGCTGGACTCTCGGCAGTTTTTCTCAGTTTTGTGATGTTACATTAACCCTTGTTGTTGTTGCTTAGTGCTGTTGAGTTGGTTCTGACTCATAGCGACCCTGTCTAGGGTTTCTGAGGAGCAGTTGGTGGATTTGAACATCTGACCTTGTAGTTCAAACCAACCTTGTGTTCCAGTGCATTATCCTGCAGTGCCACACCAGGATCCCATTAACTTTTGACAGACATCAAATCTGGTATCAAATTAGCTGAAAAATGATAGTTTTTATAAGCAAATAGGAGCCCAGCTATGCAAAGGCCCTAAATTATTCTCTTTTAAAAAAGTATTAACTGTGAATTAATAGCTTCTACAGATTAATAATAAAAAGATAAACAGTATGAAAATGTTTGGCAGTTGTAAAGTTAGTATACACCTGCCTTTTTTTTTTTTTTTTAAATACATTTTACTGTAGTTTATAGACAACTCCAAAGGAGGTGCTCAAAAAAGACTTTGCTGAATTAAACTAAACAGGGCTAAAAAATCAGTTATCCACATGGTCAGAAGCACACATTTAAAATAATGTAATTTAAGCACCTTTTTATTGAAGTTAAGCACCACTGATTAGGTTCCAACTCACAGCCACCCTATATAGGGTCTCTGAGGAGTGGCTGGTGAGTTAGAATCACTGGTCTTTCCATTCAAACCCAACTTGCAGTCCAGTGCTTATCCTGCACCTGTATGCTTACTGGCTTCCAGTTCTCTTTCAACACGAGCACATGGGTGCTATTCAGAGTACACAGCATTCATCAAACCTGGGTGCCATCAGAGGTGGTTTCCAGGGAGTCTGGCAAAACAATGATTAACTGGGGGCCACTTACTGTAAATAAATCTTTCTATCAGCATTTAATTGACACTGTTGCTGTTGTAAAGTGCCATCCAGTCGGTTCTGGCTCATAGCAACTCTATAAAGGATTTCCAAGGTGCACCTGGTGGGTTTGAACCAATGACCTTGGGTAGCAAGCGGTTCAGCGGTTATCTTACAGTGCCCCACCAGGATCCCTTTAGTTGATATTAGTTGGTTATGTCATAGAATCGGTTCTGACTCGTAGTGACCCTGTATAGGGTTTCCAAGGCTGTAAATCTCTATGGAAGCAGAAAGCCTCATCTTTCTTCCACGGAACAGATGGTAGTTTTGAACTGCTGACATTTACGGTTAGCAGTCTAACGTGTACCACTGCACTATATAGTAGAAATAAATTACGTTGAGGTGGTAAGGGTCGTGCTGTGCTGTTGAATTGGTTCTGACTCATGTTGTTGTTGTTAAGTGCCATCATAGCGACCTTAGGCACAGCAGAACGAAACACTGCCCGATCCTGGGCCAACCTCACTACTGTTGCCATGCTTGAGTCCATCGATGCTGCCACTTGGCCAGTTCATCTCGTTGAGGGTCTTCCTCTTTTTCCTGACCCTCTACCTTACCAAACATGATATCCTTCTCCAGTGACTGGTTTCACCTGACAATATGTCCGAAGTATGAGAGACAAAGTTTGGCCATCCTGGCCTCCAAGGAG